GATGAAACTTCACTATCCTTGCTTCTAAGGAACACTCTGATTGCATCTTCTTCAAGATATATCTGCTTATTTTGGCAGTTCATGGGATATGCAGTGGATACTCTTTTCAAACATCACAGCTTAAAGGCATCAGTTTTTCTTCTGTCATCCTAATTCATTGTCCAGCTCTCAGACACAGAGCAAGTAATGAAAAAGATCATAGCTTGAATCAGGTGCACCTTAGTCTTCAAACTGACATCATTGCTCCTTAGTACTTTAAAGAGGTCCGTGACAACAGACTTTCCAAATGTAATAGATTTTGTTTTTTTTTTTTTATTTTTTTCTTGTTTTTTTTTTTAAATAAAATTTTTATTTTATACTTGGGTATTTACAAAGTCCATACACATTGTTTTTCACACTGGACCTTTCCCATTTCTTTTATCCACCTGGGTTAATTTCTTCATTTCTAAAGGTGTCGATTATGTATCTAAACAAAATGAAGTTGTTGACAATTTCAGTATTTTCTCCATCTATCATGATGTTGTTGACTTTCAGCCCAGTGAAGACTCCTGTATTCATTATCTTTAGCTGTAACTCATATTGAAGGCTGTGATCCTTGATCTTCTTCAGCAGCAAGTGTTTCAAGTCCTCCTCACTTTCAACAAACAAAGTTGTGTCAGCTACCTACCACAGACTGTACCTCAGTCTTCCTCTGCTCTTAATGCCACAGACCAGCTTCTTGAATTATTTGCTCAGCATACAGTTTGAATAGGTATGGCATGAGGATACACCCCTGGTGCACACCTTTCTTGATTTTAAAGCATGCAGTTTCCCCCATGCTCTGTTCAGACAGCAGCTTCTTGGTCGAGGTATAGGCTTTGTATGAGCATAATTACATGTTCTGAGATTCCCACTCTTCTCAATGTTAGACACAATTTGTTACGATCCACATAGTCAAAAAAGACTTTGCACGTAGTCAATAAAGCCCAAATAGACATTCTTCTGGTATTCTCTGCTTTCAGCAAGGATCCATCTGACATCAGCAATGATATCCCTGGTGCCACAGCCTCTTCTAAACCCAGCTTGGACTTCTGGTAGTTCTCTATCAATAGATCATTCGAGCCATTTTTGGACAATCCTTAGCAATCCATGGGTGACAAGAACTAGAAATTTGAAAGCTGGAAGAGAGCTGGACAATGACGAAGGATGTCAGAAAAAGAATATGTGCCTTCAAGTTGTGGTGCTGGAGAAGAGTCTTGAATATACCATGGACTGCCAAGAAAACAAATCAGTCTGTCTCGGAGAAGGTGAAACCATGTCTCCCTGGAGGCTAAGATTTTGAAGCTCTGTCTCACATATTTTGGGCACATGGTCAGGAGACACCGGTCTTTGGAGAAGGACATTATTCTTAGAAGGGAGGACAGACAGCGCAGGAGAAGAAGACCCTGGATGAGATGGATTGATACAGTATCTGGGGCATTGGGGTTGGGGTGTCAGAATTAGTGAGATTAGCTCAGGACAGGGAACAGTTCAGAGCTGCTGTATATAGGTTGCTATGAGTCGCAGGCAACTCAACGGCACATAACAAAAACTATATTGGTTGTTCTTTTTTTTTTTTTCATTTAAACCTCTTGTTAACAAGAACTTGGGGAGGTCCTTTGTATTTAAAAGTCGGTTGTTACTATATTTTGGAGGAACATTATTCTTAGTGGTACAGCCCTCTTCTGTCAATATGCTGTACTGAGGTAACCTGGGGTTGCTGTGATGCTGAACCTTGTGCCAATGGGGAGTCAAATGCCATAAAGATTACCCATGGAGGACAGTGTTTGGTGGAGCTTCCACTTTAACATGTTTGGAAGCAGGAGTGGCATCCACTTCCTAAACAACATGCCTCTGGAAACTCTATGAACTTTGATAAATAATGATAGTTATAGAAAGGCTTCAGGCTTTTTTTCTCATAGGGTCACTATGAGTCGTATTCAACTGGACGCAATCATCATCATCATCAACAACAACAACAACTCTTACCACATCACAGAGTATTAATATTTTCCCTGGGGATTCTGTAAAACTAAACATTTTAAGCAATATAACAAGAGTCACAGTCCTTGTGGAGTGGAAAAACTTCACACACAAGTGTTTTGGAAGAGAGACCTGGACATCTATCGCAAAAAATGACCTAGCTGTTGAAAACATTATAAAGCACAGTTCTACTGGATCCATACAACTAAAGGTCTGGAGCTGAAACCATCCTAGACTGTTGAGATGGGCCTAAAATGCAAAGGAAAAAAAGATATAGATAGAAGAACAGAGAATATAGGAGAGCTATGAGACAACAGAGGCAGAGACAGGAGTGGTACAGCCCCAAGCCAGTGGACATCTGAAGATATCAGAGGCTGAGGGACAAGAAAAGATTGTTCCCTACAGCCTTCACAGGCATAGTGGCCCTGACAGTGCCTTGATTTTAGCCTTCTGGCCTCGGAAACTGTTTGTGCATAAATTTCTGTTATTTAAGTCATCACATTTGTGGTATTTCTTGCAGCAGCCCTAGGAAACAAAAATAGCCACTAACAAGGGTAGCAGATGGGAGAGGAATGCATTGGCACTGGATTTCAGATGCGCCAACTTCAGTGCCCATCAAGAAAAGAGAAGAAGCCTTTTCATAGTCTCAGCCAGCCCTGCCAACAAAAATGTTTCTAGACTGTATTTTTCTACCAAGCCATTGCCCCAGAGAGACTTACTGTTCAGTTTTGAGCTAGACACTTTATCTTTGACTTTTCTTACCTACAATAGACTGAGGTCACTGCTTCTCACAATACTTTTACACATGGGTTAGCAGACATGAAAATTTAGGAAGATGAGAGGGGGAAAAATTTTTTAAAAGCTTCCTGCCCTTATCACTGGATTTCCCCCCTATATTTAAAGTTATCTCCTTCACAACTGCTCCATTAGTCCTTCTCCCATGAGGGGAAAATTCTAAGGAGGGGGAAAAAATCCCTGAATTAAACACACACACACACACACACACACACACACACACACACAAACACCCCCAAAAACCCACAAAAACAAAAACACAGGAAAAGAATAGCTCACAATAAACTAGGGCTAGATAATTCTGAATTGCAAAAGAATCAAACTATCTAATTGCAAAGAGCTTGTTCATTTTTTCTATTCTCTCTTTAGTAAGCACTTATTAAGCATCTTTTCCTGGTCAATGCATCACATGGGCAGTTGTCAACTTTATTTTTCAGTGGCAGTTTTTGTGTCACCGTGATGTTGAAATGGTTTCAGTACAACTTCCAGAAGAAGTTAGACCAAGAAGAAAGGCCTGGCGACCTACTCCTGAAAAATCAGCCAGTGTACGCTTACGACAGCTCAATCCACAACCAATCATGGGAGATGGTGTAGGACTGAGCAGCGTTTTGTTCCCATGTGCCTGGTGTCATCTAACAAAACAACTGCTTAGGCAAGGCACAAACAAGTGATCTTAATCATTCTCTTTGCCATCGAATCAGCACCTACTCATCACTGACCTCCCAGCAGCTTTCAGAGGTGATAAATCACATGGAGATGATTGCTCATTTTTATCCCTTGAAGCAGCAGGTGGATTCAAGCCATCTGCCTTTGGGTTGTCAGCACAATTCCTTACCCACTAGGCCATCAGAGCTTTGGCTAACTATACAATTGGTTATCTAGCTATTTACAAAACACTGCAAATATTGTTAACCCATATCTATTGTGGCATCACTACCTGTTGTTGTTATTGTTAGATGCTGTCAAGTAGATTCCAACTCACAGACAACAGATGGAAATCCTGCCCAATCTTGCAGGATCTGCTGTGTTCAATCAAGCCCATTGTTACAGTCACTGAAGCAATGCCTTGCCTTTTGAGGGTCTACCTCTCGTTTTTTCAGCCCTTTATTTTTCTAAGCATAAGAGCCTTCTTTAGGGTCTAAACCCTCCTGATCACATGCCCAGAGAATGTGAGATGAAGTCACTTTTAAATATGACCAGTCCAACTTTTGTAACCCCAACTCTACAAACTCAATTTAGCCTCCTTGCTTTGGTTTGCCCACGGACTCTAATTTACATAAAGCCAATCTTTGCTGTAACACCTCTGATTAGTAAGGAAAATGACATTTTTTTGGCAAATGCCCCAAATACAGAGGCATACACACTTTTTCTATGATTGGTGGAGATTGTTGATGAGGTCCTTCAACCCTCTTTCAAAGCTTACTGAAGAGAAAGAAAAAAAAAAAGAGCCAGAAAAACATCATGGCAGAGGGTGGAGATATGAGTCATTTCCTCTTATAAATGCACACAGGTCATGTAGGAAAAAGTCGTCATATTTCATAAATTTTTAGTGAAGCATTTTGGAGTGACTTGCCCTGGTGCCTCTGATTTAATTCAAATCAATACTGGTAAAAAAAAAAAAGAAAAGAAAAGAAAAAGAAAAATCACGAAGCAAGTGTGGTAACATGCTCATTTGAAATTTAAATAATAGAGTACTTTCTACTTTTCTGTATGTTAAAAAAAAATCAGTGAAACATAAGAACAAGATGAAACGAAGATCTATTTGTATACATAGGGATCTCTCTCCCTTGCACTGATATGAGTGATGTTCCGGGGCTGTTTATCTCAGTCAAGGGATGCTGCCTGCTTGCAATTTGCATGCCTGCTAGGAGCTGCAGACCTGAGCAAGCAAGCTCGGTTCTTAACTGCTCTTTGGTTCTATTTATGGAAGAGAAGAGACATCGATTGAGAAACGGCTGAGTACAAAAAATTCGGCAATATTGGCAGAAGCAGGACAGAAGAACCGCTCTGATGACATTTGCTGTTCATCACAGGGAGCTAAGCATGCAGCTTTCACTGCTCGCAGGGCATTTCATTCAAATGCATCTTGTGTACATGGAATTTATCCTTCCAAACAGACACACCAGCTGGGAACTGACTCAGGCCCACCCCCAGCATCCAGACTCGCGCACACACACGGGCAGGCACGGTAAGAGCAGACTCACAGTTCTGAGTATAGGAAGTGCAGGTTGCCCACATTGTCAATGTAGTTAGCAGGACTGAGCCAAGGTAAGACCAGTAACAAAAGCGCCTTCATTTTCTGTGCTGGCTGCTGCTCTCCTCCAGGCCACCTTTTCTCGGTCAGCTGCAGGGTCTCCAGCGGGGCCAACTCCTTTAAACAAGCCTTGTCATGTCCCTACAATCAGCAGATGATGTAGAATCTGACAGCCCTGAGGTGAAGCCACGCCCCCGAATCATGGACCTGTAAGAGGATTACCCCCTCTGCTTTTCAGATGGGGAGATGGTAGCATGGAGGGACCCAGCATGGTTGGCAGGAGGCTGGGGACAAGAGCAAGCAGGCTGATGCTGGGGAAGGGACCTGTCTCCTTCCGCAGGATGCGGACTGGTTCTTGGGAAGCAGCTGGTACATTTACATCACTGGTCGGGAGCAGATGGGCTGAGAGCTAAACTGAGCTGCAAGAAGGCATGAGCATGGCACATTCAGACCCCACGGTGTGCATGAGCAAAAAACCAAAAGCTGCCCCACAGCTTCACTTTTCAAGACACAGTAAGAAATTACCATCTTTGGAACGGTTCCTGGAGAGCTGAGCTTCAGATGTTATGAAGCAGGAGTTCTTTAAATATAAATGTACTCCACATCTCCTGAAAACTGCATACATATATTTAAGGCATGCCTCTTACCACTGTCACAACTACACTAACATATGTAGGCTATGACAGCTTTCTTGACATTTTTTTAAAATGACAAATAAATTGCCCCTATATAGAAAATTCTATTCCTGCTGAGTCGGAATCAACTCATAGTTGATCCTTCAGTGGGTTTTCAGAGGCTGTAAATTGCATGGGTGTCAACTGCAGCCTTCAATATGAATTGCATCTTAACATCACGAAAACAAAGCCTCTCACCCGTATACCAATAGGTAACATGAGGATGGACAAAGAAATGATTGAAACTGCCAAAAACTTCATCTTACTTGGATTCCCAATCAATACACTTGGTACCGGTGGTCGGGAGATCAGGAGACATATTGCACTGGGAAAGTCTGCAGTCAGGGATCTCTCCAGATTATCAAAGAGCAATGATGTCAGTTTGAGGACTAAGGTGCATCTGATTCAGACCATGGTATTTTTAGTCACTTGCTATGCATCTGAGAGGTAACAATAAGGATTACAGAACTGATACTTTTGTACCATGGTATTGGAGAAGAGTACTGAACATCCCAAGGGCCACCAAAACAACAAAAACATGTCTTAGAGAAGGAGCAGCCAGAGTGTAAGGATGATAAAGCTTTGTCTTATATACATTGGGCATGTTGCTAGGAGAAGCGATTCCTTGGAAAGAGACATCGTGCTTGGAAATGTGGAGGGATGGTGAAAGAGGAAGACCCTCAATCAGGGGGATTGACATGGTGACAGCAGCGATGGGCTCAAATGTGTCAGAGATGGTTAGGATGGCACAAGATAGCACAGGGTTCAGTTTTGTTATTCATAGGGTCACTAGGAGTCGTACTCAATTCGATGACACCTCACAACAACAACAAATAGCACAAGAGGAGACTGCCCATTGTTGGTGGATTCAAACCACCAGAAAGGCACTACCTTTGGGTTAATAGCATTACTCTCAATGGATTAGAACAGGTAGCTCCTAAACTAGGAAGGGGGTGGAATGCTTGGTAAAGGAGAAGTTCAGCAAAAAATAAGGCCCTCAGTGAGACGCATTGCCACAGCTGGCTGCAACAAAGGGTTAAAGCACTGCAGAAGCTGTGATGATGGCACCGGATCAGCCAGGGTTTCTTTTTTCTGCTGTCAATAGGCTTGTCATGCATGTTCAAAGGCATCTAACAATAGCAGACACATAATGGGACTGCATAGAGCTCAGTTCTGTTCTAACACCAGAGGCTTCATTGAGTTGGGGGCTGACTTGATAGTGACAGCAGACAGTAACAACATCATACAAGTACAGGCTGTGTCATTCTAACAACAAAGAGCCTACATAGAGATCATGCTCTTTGTAAACCATGAACAGATCCCTGCTCTGTGAGAAAAGGTGTTAAGTTGCTTGGCCTTCTCCCCTAGGCAACTAAACGAGGATCTGACACTTGCTGTGTGTCTCTGCACATTCCACTTCCGTTCACGAGTTCCAGACATCCCATTCTAGAAGGGAGTTAGTGAGGCCTTATCTTACCTAAGGGCCTACACCCACACCACCTCCTCTAAGCTCTAAAATCTGAGATTATAGACCATACCACACGCAGGACTTCCTTTGCATACCTAAGCTCTAGAATGCCACAGGAGTACCTACAACTGCCCTCAAGACCATGTTTAAGAATTTTAAAATCAGTTTTGCCAACTTAAGGCCTACTCTTCATAGAAATAGCTCAAAAGAATAGTTAAATGGAAGCCAAGCAATTATAACAAACTTGTTTTGTTGACAGAGGACTAGAGACAAGTTTAAAAGGTGAGATCAACTCTAATGAATGATATTTGAAGGAAGTTTCACAGAGAAGTAGTTATCGGAGGAAGCACTACATGAATTGAAATATAATAGAGTTTTTGGTGGCACACTGGGTTAGGTGTTGCAATGCTAATGTAAAGGTGGGTAATTTGAATCCACCAGCCTCTCCAAGGAGAAAGCTAGATTAGTCACTTTGGTCTTGTAAAAATTTATAGCTTTGGAGATCTTATGGGCATGTTATTGTGGCTGTGGTTGTTGTGTGCCATTGAGTTGGAACCAACCCACATCTGACTCTAGCGGTTTTCCAAGGCAGTTAGTTGCATGGGAAGAGATTGCCCTATAGTTATACCTTATTCTTTAGAGTTGTTACAAATAGGTATCAACTTGCCAGCAATAGTTTTGATTTAAACTCTTCAGAGCGTGCAGATTGAATTCCTACAGTTTAGATCAGTGACCAGCAACTCTGATGGCACATGATGTATAACTTTGTAATTCTGATGAGGCCTAAACTTGAATTCCAACCCTGTTCAAGGGTGTTCCGGGCATGAGTCAGAGCTGATGAAGAGCAGAGAGAAGGAAGTCGGGTTTGGTATCCAGGTGCTGGAGTCACACAGGCTGGAGCTGAACTCCAGCTGTGTGACACCAGGCATGTTGCTTAACCTCTCTGAACTTCCATTTCCTCCTCTGTAAAAGACACACAGTAATAACAGTGTTTAAGGCAGAGAGTTGCTGGGAGGGTGGCCTGAGATTATGCTTATAAAGTACAAAGCGTTTAAAGAGAGTTGTTGTTAGCTGCCCTCGAGCTAGCTTTGAATCTTGGCAACCCCGCACAAAACAGGATAAAATGCTGCCTCATCCTGCAGCATTTTAATGACTGTTGGAATTCATGAGCCCCATTGTAGCCACTGGGTATTTGGAGGGCCCTTCAACCTTGTGGTTAGATGCCATTGAGCTGGCTCTGAGTCATCATGACTTTGTGTACAACACATGGAACACAGCCCCATCCTGAGCCATCTTCCCACTCACTGTTGTGTAGGAGTTCACCTTACTGTGCTTATTTTCCTGCACAAAAGCAGACAATTTTGCCAGTCTAGAGACTAAGGTGCACCTGATTCAGACCATGGTCTTTGAAATTACTTGCTATGCATCAGAGAGCTGGACAATGACTAAGGATGACACAAGAAGAATCGATGCCTTTGAGTTGTGGTGCTGGAGAAGAGTGTTGAATATACCAAAGATTCCTATGAGAACAAACAGGTTCATCCTGAAGAGGATGAAACCAGGCTGCTCCTTGGAGGTAAGGATTCTGAAGTTCCATCTAAATAACTTTGTGCATGCTGTAATGAGGGACCAGTCTTTGGAGAGGCATATCATGCTTGGGAGGATGGAGGGACAGTGCAAGAAAGGAAGACTTTTGATGAGATGGATTGACTCAGTAACTGGCGTGATGGTGGTAGGGTGTCAGGGACAATGAAATTGGCTCTAGACAGAGCAGGGTTCAGAGCTGTTGTGTATATAGGGTTGCTGTGAGCCAGAGCTACCTCCACAGCACATACAACAACAATAACAACAACAATAGCAGGCAATATACTAGTGATCCTTAGAGTTTTTACTGATTCTCAGAAGTATATCACCAGGTCTTTCTTCAACTCTCAGTCTCGAAGCTCTGCTCACACTTGTCTGCTCTGAGTGACACTGCTGGCATTTACAATACCAATAGCACTGTTTTCAGTATCATAGCAACATGCAAGCCACTAACGTACAACAAACTGGCAGATGGGTGATCAGTGGTAGGAATAAGAGAAGGGAGCTCTGGCGGTGTAGTCTCCAGGGAGCTGCGCTGCTAACACAAAGGTGGTGCCTCTCCAGCAGTTCAAACCCACCATGACTCAGCAGGAGAAGGGTGGCCAACCTCCTCTCGTGTGATTTACAGCCTCCGAAGACTTGTTGGAAGGTCAGCTGTAAGTGAATTCCAACTCGACAGCAATGAATGATTGTATGAAACACAATGTAAATAAGGGATTGTATGGAACAAAATGGGCATGAATGAAACACAATGTAAATGAATTATTGTGTAAAAATCAATTTTAAAAATGTTGTTGTTGACATAGAGTCTGAATCAGTCCATAGCTGGCCCTCTGGCAGGTTTTCAGAGGCAGTTAATTGCACAGGAGGAGATGGCCCATCCTTCTCCCTAAGAGCAGCTGGTAGCCTCAAACCAAGTGCCATTGGGATTGCAGCACAGCTTCTTGCTGCTAGGCCATGAAACTCCCTAATTTAAAAAACAGGAAAAAAAATATTTACAGCTTCAGAGACCTGATGGAGGGCTGCTGCGAATTGGAACTCACTCCAGAGCAGCAGATTTATATTTTGGTAGTTGCTTTACGGGAGCAAAGATCTGGCAATCTGAGGCCATAAGGATCACAGGCTCGGAAATCTAATGGGGTTGTTCTACTTAGACTTGTGAGGACATTATGATTCAAATAAACTCAGTGTCACCTGTGTTGTGGTTGCTGATTGTCTTCGAGCTGAGCGCTATTCATAGCGACCCTCTGAACAAAAGGCCTGAAGCCCCTCTACAACCATCGACATTAATCAAAATTATAGAGTTTCTGGAGGCC